GAGGAGGCGGGGTCAGAATGAGAAATAGGGGCGCGTCCTGGGGCAGATATTATATACATATATATAAAAATACATAAAATATGTAATTATAGTTTGTCTTATTGACAATTTCATTAAACTGGGCCACAATTTTGGAAAAATTGCATTATCTACAGCAATGCTGCCTAAGGTGTTTGAGCCCATGATATAGCACTCCTGTATCAGACTGTATGGTAGCTGTTGAATTTACAATAATACACTTAAAGTAAAATCTGGGTGCTATATTGTGTATTTCGTGTACTTATGTTGAAGGACATCACTTTATCACAAATTAGTTTCCATTTATTCATCTCTTGTATTACGGTTGGTGAAGTAAAATGATATTTTGTTGTGGATATAGGTGGGTTATATTATCTCTAGATTTCATTCAGAATAATAAAGGCAGAATTACATATTATGAATTATTTGTGATAAAAAGAAATAAACTTAGCCATCTGGAAAGTGCAAATTACAACCACAATGAAATATCATTTCACATCTAGAATGGCTATGATAAAAAAGATAATAACAAATGTTGGGAAATCTTCATTATGAGGGTTCCCTGTGTATACATGTTAAAATAAATTTGTAACTTTTCCACTTGTTAACAAAAAAGAAAGAAAAAATGAATAACAAATGTTGGTAAGGATGTAGAGATACTGAAGCCATCATATACTGCTGGTGGGAAGGTAAAATGGTGCATGCAGTCTAGCAGTTACTCAAGAGGTTAAACACAGAGTTACCATATCACACAACAACACCACTCCAGGGTATATACCCAGGAGAAACAAAAACAAATGTCTCCACAAAAACTTGTACATGAATGTTCTTTTTTTTTTACCCCCTTCCCCCCATACATGAATGTTCATAGCAGCATTATAGCCAAGAATAGAAACATCCTAAGTGTCCATCAACTGATTAATGGATTAATAAAAGGTGGTATATCCATACAATGAAACAGTATTCAGCCATAAACAGAAAGGAAATACTGATACAGGTTACAACATAGATGAACCTGAAAAACATTATGCCAAGTGGAAGATACCACGTGCAAAGAACTGCATATTCTCTGATTCCATTTATAGGAAAATCTGGGAATAGGAAAATTTCATAGAGGCAAAAGTAGATTGATGGTTGCCTAAGGCTGGAGGAGAGGGATGGGAGAATTGGAGGTAACTGCTAATGGGTATGGGGTTTCTTGTGATGTAAAGATGTTCTGAAATTGATTATGATGATGGTTGCACAACTGTGAATATACTAAAAACCACTGAATTATACTTTAAGTGGGTGAATTGTATGGTGTGTGAATTCTATCTCAATAAAGCTGTTACAAAAAAAACTAAGGCACACTTAAAACTTTGACTCAAATGGTACAAAAGCAATTTATGAGACCAAAATATTTGTCCCTCTGTAAGATTCTGAAATAAAATTTAAAAAAATCCTAGGGGATGTTGTATCAGTTACAAATGAGAACATTGGTCCACAACTAAGTTCAGATGATGAAACTGCCACTCACTGAATGCTAATATATGCTAGGCACTGCACTTCCTGAATCCTCACATCCTTCTAAAAAATAAGAATTAATTTCCCCTATTTTACAGGTAGGCCAACTGGTAGCCTTTTTCAGGATTTTGCACTTTTCCAAGAGTGGAAAGTTAGAAACTTTAACATCCACAAGAATAAATATAGCGCCAACATATCAGGCTCCTCATTTGAGCCCAGCTCTGTTCATGCTTTTTTGCTTCATTTAATCACAAGGACAACGCAACGAGGTCAGCACTCTTCTCATTCCCAATTTGCAGACAAGGAAACTGAGGTGCAGAGACGTTAAGTAACTTGGCTCAGCATCACACAGCCAGGAAGGGTCAGAGGCACCAGGTTCTGCCAGCCCCTAATGCTCATGTTAACTAACCACTCCCTTTACCTCTAACATCGTTGGGTGGAAAATTCCACAGCTTCAAAGGCTGGGGCGGAGTGGACAAAACAAGTTACAAGAGCATATGGACCACATATTCTCGTTAAAACAAATAAATAAAAAAGCATCCGTAAATGCTCAGTAAAGACCTGATTGTCCTCGAGGGAAAGGCTTTGGAACAATTTTCATCTTTTACCTGTTCAAGTATTCTGATTTTTCTTGAAAAGTTATTATTTTTCCCTTTTTGGTAGGGAGGACTAGGCTTTTTAAATTCTTCCAATCACCACGTTATGTTTTAAAAAATATTATTTTCTGGATCCAGGTTTGTAATTTAACTTATTTAAACCCAACCAGCAGTGCGCCTCCACAATCAGAAAATTTCTAACAACTCAAAAAGGGCAAACATGCTTTAAAATGAGTCATGTACAAAAAGCAGTTATAGCAGGAGAGATTTATGTCGATTAAATCTTTGGCCACGGGCCCAGAGAAGCACATGAATGGGCTAAAGCCACAAAGCGCGAGGCTGGAATGTTCGGGACGGGCCACGCTCCCCTCCAGTCCAACATTTGATTAAATGAGTCCGGAACTCTTTTGTCGAGGCTCAGTGGATCCACCCGGTAAAGTAAACTTCCGGTGAGCTCATTAATTTAGAGCGGGGCAGCGGATTCAGCTGGTGCTAAGCGAACCGGAAGTCTGTCAACTTACACTCCCCGCCCCATTCCGGATGTGACGCACGGGCGGGGTTGCCGGAAGAAGTGGCGAAGTTACTTTTGAGGGGACTCAAGTAGCGGCGGCGTGTCAGGGGCTACAGAGGAGGAGGAAGAGAAACGGAGTGAGGGAACGGAGACAGGTGCAACCGAGAGTGGGGAGACGCGGGAAGCCGAACCCGGGGCTCCTCGGCGTTCTCCGCGTTTCTCCGCTGAGCCCACTCTTCTGCTTCCCTTCCCTCCCCTCCATAGCTCGCGACTCCCCCGGCTGTTTCCAGGGCAACGGGAGTAGGAGACCCCGCGAGAGGCTGCCCACGAGACCCCCGCGCGCAGCCATGAGCCCCGCCCCCCACTGGTGCTCAGAGAGGGGCGGGACCTGGAGCGAGGTGTGGGGGCGGAGCATGAGGGAGGAGATGGGGCGGGAGATGGGGCGGGACCTGGAGCGAGATTATGGGGGCGAGGCTTGGAGAGAGGGGTGCAGATGGGGCGAGGCAAGGTGTTGGTTAGGGAGCCCTGATGGGGGCAGTGGGGAAAGGACCTGGAAGGGATGGGGCGGGACCGAGGAGAAAATAAGGGGAAGTGGAACATAATTGGAGGAGGCGGGGTCAGAATGAGAAATAGGGGCGCTTCCTGGGCTAGCTGAGGTGAAGTTTTAGAGTAGGGGCGTGAAACTTGATGGGAGGGAGGATGTGAGGGCAGAGCATCATTGGAGGAGAAGTGGCTATGCCTGAAGAGAGGTGGGTGGGACCTGGAGGGGGCGGGTCCTAGAGGAGGGGCGGGGCTTAAGACCAAGCTGAAGGCCAACCCCGAGCAGAAGGGGGCGGGCCCTGTTAGAAGGGTAAGGAGGGTTTGTAGGAAGATGGGTGGGACCCGGGCTGGGGTCTCTGCAATAGTAAAGAGTCTGGAAGGAGAGATGGAAGAAAGCAGGGCACCCCCATGAGGACCTGTGACTGGCCTGACCAAACTCTTCCTAGCCCCACAAAGCTCTCAATTCCCTGTATTCTGCAGGTTGCTCTGTGACCCTACCATGTCCTCCCCCACCATGAGTTCCCTGGACACCCCTCTGCCTGGTGAGTGACCCTCTTCCCTACCCAGCCCTTATCACACACTGGCAAGAGAGCTCACTGTGCCCCTCTTGTTTGCCTCCCTCTCCCAGAGAATGGCCCCCCTCAGCCTGGCGCCCCCTCTTCTTCACCCACTGTTAAGGAGGAGGGTCCTGAACTGTGGCCTGGAGGTTCAGACCCTGATGTCCGAGGCACTGATGAGTCTGGCTCAGCCTACATCGTGGGTGAGACGGGGCCCAGGGTCAGGGGTCTGGGGGTTGATGTGCGGGGCTTGGAGAGGAATTTAGGAAAGGAGAAAGAAACCGGGATGGGGAGATGGGAGGCCCCTGTTTCTTGTTGATTCTTTTCCTTCATTTCTTCTTGATACCTCTTAACTTTGTTCATTCTTCGGAATGTACCGACATACACACATTTCTCTCTGAATTACAATTTCCTGGGGTGTGAGCATTTCCTCCATCCTCTGCCTCAGGATCTCTCATGGGCCTGTCCCTCTGGCTGCTGTTTCTCTCTGTGGCTGGCTCTCATGGCCTCTGTGTACCCACCCCAGTCATCCTAGACCCAGATGAGGAGCCAGAGCGCAAGCGAAAGAGGGGCCCAGCCCCGAAGATGCTGGGTGACGAGCTTTGCCGTGTGTGCGGGGACAAGGCCTCTGGCTTCCACTACAACGTGCTCAGCTGTGAAGGTTGCAAGGGCTTCTTCCGGCGCAGCGTGGTCCGCGGCGGGGCTGGGCGTTATGCCTGCCGGGGCGGTGGAACCTGCCAGATGGACGCTTTCATGCGGCGCAAGTGCCAGCAGTGCCGGCTGCGCAAGTGCAAGGAGGCAGGGATGAGGGAGCAGTGTGAGTGCTGGGGCACAGGGTGGTGCCTGCCTGGCTCCTGTCCAGCCCCAGGCCTCCACTGAGGCCTGTATCCCCACGACAGGCGTCTTGTCTGAAGAACAGATCCGGAAGAAGAAGATTCTGAAGCAGCAGCAGCAGCAACAGCAACAGTCCTCGCAGTCACCTGTGGGGCCGGGGGGCAGCAGCAGCTCAGCCTCTGGGCCTGGCGCATGCCCTGGAGGATCTGAGGCAGGTGGCCAGGGCTCTGGGGAAGGCGAGAGTGTCCAGTTAACGGCGGCTCAGGAACTAATGATCCAGCAGTTGGTGGCAGCCCAGCTGCAGTGCAACAAACGCTCCTTCTCTGACCAGCCCAAAGTCACGGTACTGCCCTTTCCACACCCTTGAGGGGTGACAGTCCCAGTGGGATAGAGCTGGCCAGGCCATGGCCCTGGGTATGGGCCAGAAGGCAGGGGCTTTGGGAGGAGGTCCCCCAGGGTGCAGGCTTTTCCTCAAGTGCTCCTGGGGACTTATGTTCACATGTGGAGTCTTGGGTGTGACCCTGGTCTCCTGCGTCGCAGCCTTGGCCCCTAGGCGGTGACCCCCAGTCCCGAGACGCCCGCCAGCAGCGCTTCGCCCACTTCACGGAGCTGGCCATCATCTCAGTCCAGGAGATCGTGGACTTTGCCAAGCAGGTGCCTGGCTTCCTGCAGCTGGGCCGCGAGGACCAGATCGCCCTCCTGAAGGCGTCTACCATTGAGGTAATGGCCAGGCTGCCTGTCCTCAGCAAGGCCCTTCCCCTCATCCCACAAAGGACCCCTGAGATGGCTCCAGGACAGACGCTGGCAATAGAGCAATGAGCAGGACCAGTCCTCGCCCTCATGGGAATAACATTCACCAGGGGAGTGTCCAAACACTAAACTTAGATAGTCAGAGCCTCCCATGAGCTGGGGAGAGAGAGGGAAAAGGGGCTGAGGCTGAGGGTAATGAGGATTGGCCTAGAGGGGCCACTTTAGAGAAAAGGTGCCAGCAAGTCAAATGTCAACAGAGAAGTTGACATTTGAATCAAGGGTAACAAATAATGTATCGAGTGCCTACTGTATACCAGGCTCCATTCCAAGTGCTAGTATATGGCAGACAACAAAGCAGATGAAATTCCTTGCCCCTGTACCTCATAACCATTGGGGGAAAGAGTGTTCTAAAGTTGAGGAGGGGACAGCCAGGAGGGGGGAAGAGCTTGCATGTCCCATGTGCCGACTACACATTGATGTGGCTGAGAGAACAGGGTGTGGGCGAGAGATGATCCTGGTGAGATCGGACCCCCATTTGGGCCAGGCGGGGAGGGACTAGCAGCTAAAGAGTCACAGGGGCCCCCCTCAAGCCCCTTCCACCTACATCCTTCAGATCATGCTGCTGGAGACGGCCAGGCGCTACAACCATGAGACAGAGTGCATCACCTTCCTGAAGGACTTCACCTACAGCAAGGACGACTTCCACCGTGCAGGTAGGGCCAAGGGCGGGCTTGGGGGTCAGCGGGAGGGTTGGCGCCCTGGCTGGCTGGGAGACCTCAGGCCGTGTCATCCTTGTCTTAGCCTCCGTTTCTTTATCTCCAAAGTGGGGGTGAGGGTTGAGCCAAGGTGAGAGCAAGAATAAGAGCACATTTATTCAGCACCAGCTCTGTACAGAGGGACGCAGTAGGGGTCTCTGCTGTCACATTGGGCAACTTGGTAGGAGTTAGGAAAAAGCACCCCCACCCCCGCCACCCAACCTGGCCTCACGGGAGGGAGACAGGCTGGATCTCAGTCCACTGTGAAGTGTACAACCTGCCCAGCTGTATAGGCAGCACTGCCTCCTGCCTTCCAAGAGCACTTACCTGGGGATGTCACTTGGGCTTCTGGAGGAAGTGCAGGTGAGGTGAGGCCTAGTGGGTAAGAAGCATCACCAATGAAAAAGGGGTGGGGACCCGCCATGGAGCATGCACAGAGGCCTGGCTCTCCCATCCTTTGGGCTTTCTCAGTAAGTCCCACCCTCTCCCACCATTTCCCTCTGTGTATCCCAGACATCCACTCCTAACCTCATCATCTTCCCTTCCTCTAACCCTGGCCCTCCCAGCACCCGTGATGGTCCCAGTAACCCTTTTAGTGTGACCTTAGCAGGGCAGAACTGGAAGGAACAGTGTTTCTGGCAGGGGCACTGGCATGTGCAAAGGCCCTGAGGTGGAGGAAAGCCAGAGGGTTTTTTTTTTTTTTTTCTCACTCTGTTGCCCAGGCTAGAGTGCCGTGGCGTCAGCCTAGCTCACAGCAACCTCACACTCCTGGGCTCAAGCAATCCTTCTGCCTCAGCCTCCCAAGTAGCTGGGACTACAGGCATGTGCCACCATGCCCGGCTAATTTTTTCTATAGATTTTTAGCTGTCCAATTAATTTCTTTCTATTTTTGGTAGAGACGGGGTCTCACTCTTGCTCAGGCTGGTCTCGAACTCCTGAGCTCAAACAATCCGCCCGCCTTGGCCTCCTGGAGTGCTAGGATTACAGGCGTGAGCCACTGCCCCCGGCCCAGCCAGAGGGTTTTGAGGAGCTACCAGGAGGTCCAGGCAGCCAGGGCACAGGGAGACGGGGCTGGAGAGGAGGTCGGGAATCCCACCACTTCCCACCTTTCCTCTGCGACTGCACCAGCTCGGGCTTCAGTCATCTCTCCCTGGGACATTGCAGAGGCCCCTCACTAGGCTCCCCGCCTCCACCTCTGCCTGATGTGTCTGCTCACACGGTAGTCAGAAGCATCCTGCCAGCTCAGCACCAAGTCAACTCACGTCCCTCCTCTGCTCAGAACCCTCCCCAGCTTCCATCCCACCGGGACAAGAGCCAAAGTCCTCCCCGTGGCCCACGGAACCCTTCAGGATCTGTTCCTTGTTCCCACTCTACCCTCAGCTCTTGTCCTCTCCCCCTTATTCACCCTCCCAAAGCCACACTGGCCTCTTGGCTCTTATTTGAACCCAGCAGGCTTGCTTCAGCCAGAGGGCCTTTGTACCTGCTGGTCCCTCTGCCCAGAACCAGGGTGACCGACTGGTCCTGGTTTGCCCAGGACCTTCCCAGTTTTAACACTGAAAGTCTTGTGGCCCAGGAGTCCATCCTCAGCCCAGTCCCAGGCAGAACAGATGGTTGGTCACCCTGTTCAGAACACTCACAGAGCCTTGTAACTCAATCGCTCCCTTCCTTTGGGTGGGTCATTGCTCAGATGTCACCCTACAGTGAGGGCTTCCCTGGGCACCTGGTATAAAATGTGAACATGATTCTCAGCAATCTAGAACACCCTTCCCTGCGTTATCTTCCTCCATAGAACTCATCACCATCTGACAGGCTGGGTATTTCACTGATGTGTTTGTCTGTCATCCAGCCCCTCGACCCTCAAATGTAAGTTCTGTAAGAGCAGGGACTTTGTCTTGTAAACGGCTCTGCCTTGGGCCTGGCACATAGTAGGTGCTCAGTGAAGTTTGATTAGTGAAAGAGGCAGTCTTGGGGATCAGTGTGAGCTTTACTTCAAAAGCAATGGAAGCCACCACAGGGACTGACGTGACGTGAGCTAGCTTTTAGCAACTTTTCTCTGCCTTCATGACAAGGATTAATCCCGGGAAACTAGGGAGGAGCTGCAGCCACCACTCAGGCAGGCAGTGAGGGTGACGATAGGATAGAAAACACCGAATAGATGTTTGCCCTCGTTATGCATCACTTAGGCAAGGCTTGTGGCACACCTACTGCGTGCCAAGCAGTAGGGACCCAGGCACTGGGACCCAGAGGTGAGAGAAATGATGAGAACACTGTAATTACTGCTGTTTTCCTCACCCCGTGGACTGTGGGTGGCGCCAGGGGCCAGGCCTTGGGCAGGTTTCAGCCCAGGCAGTCATGGCTGCCTCCGCCCTGCAGGCCTGCAGGTGGAGTTCATCAACCCCATCTTCGAGTTCTCCAGAGCCATGCGGCGGCTGGGCCTGGACGATGCCGAGTACGCCCTCCTCATCGCCATCAACATCTTCTCAGCAGACCGACCCAACGTGCAGGAGCCAAGCAGAGTGGAGGCACTGCAGCAGCCCTACGTGGAGGCGCTGCTCTCCTACACGCGCATCAAAAGGCCACAGGTACTGGGGCCTGGATACCCAGAGCCTGGCTGCTCTTGCGCAGCCTCTGCAGCCCCTCTGGGCAAAGCAGACTCAGTCCTGAGACCCGGGTAGGGGACAGGGTGTCCAGGCCCACGTGCATCAGTTTTAGGCTGGGGTCTGTCCTGAGGAGCCAGGCCTAGTGCAGGCACCGGGCAGGCCCCATCCCCTGCCCAGACACTCCGCGTGCCAACTCTGCCAGCTTGCCTGGGGAGGGAGGCCCTCCTTTCAGTTCAGGTGGGCTGACCAGAGCCTTGCAGGACAGGGACTCGGCCAGCACCCACCTCCCTCCTGTCCACCCACAGGACCAGCTGCGCTTCCCACGCATGCTGATGAAGCTTGTGAGCCTGCGCACATTGAGTTCTGTCCACTCGGAGCAGGTCTTTGCCCTGCGGCTCCAGGACAAGAAGCTGCCACCGTTGCTGTCTGAGATCTGGGACGTCCACGAGTGAGGGGCTGGCCACCCAGCCCCACAGCCTTGCCTGAACTCCCTCTAACAAATGACGCTGTCACCCCTTCCTCCTCCTGGGGTGGCAAAGGGCCCCAGGCCGGGCCTATAGTCCCACCTTGCTCCTGGCCTCACCAGCCCTCAGCCCTGGGATGAGCCCCAGTCAGGGCCCATGAGGCTTCCTCCCTACCCACGGAGTCTTCCAGAAGGTGTGGAATGGGTCACAGGTCCCGACCTCTGGCCCTTCCCAGCAGCTCTCCTCACCCAGCTTACACCTCAAGCCCACCACGCAATGCACCTTGAACAGAGGCAGGGGAGGGCCTGTGGCTCTGCCCCACAGCCTGAGAGACCGTAGGTCCTCCTCTTCCTCTGCTCCTTTTATTTAATAAAAACTAAAAACAGAACAAAAACAGGAAAATAAAATATGAATACAAGCTAGCCCTGAGCCAGAGTGCAAGAAATGGAGAGGGGGTGGTCTTCATTGACATGGCCCCAAACCTGATTCAGTAGGCGGGACCCAGGGCCTTCCCAGGCTGGTGGGGGGTGGCCCGGATGGTCCTGGTGCAGAGTGATGTGCTCTGGCTGCTGTGGGGGTCCAGGACAGGGGCCTGACAGCCCCAGGGTCACCTCCCTAGACGAGGTGAATCAGAACCTGCTCTTCAAGGATAAATAGGATTTGTGTGGACTTGTCCAGTCAACAAGTGTCTGCTGAGGCCTCTTGTGGGAGGCACTGTTGGCCATTCTGGAGACGCAGACATCAGGCATCCAACAAATGTACGTGCAGCATTTACCACGTCAAATAATTTTGGGCACTGAAAGCATCAGTCAGCAAGATAAAGACCTTCCTATGAGACAGAGCGGGGACAGATGGGGACAGAACAGAAGGGAACGGGGCTTTAATGGCAGCACATGCAGTGAGAGAGCTAGAGGAAGTGAGGCAAGGTGTCACAAAGGAGATGTTTTTGCTGGGACCTAAAACATAAAAACCAGGGAGGGCTGGGCCTCCAAGTTGCAGAACCGCACGTGCTAAGCCTGGAAGATGAGCGATCCTGGCAAGTTCGGCATAGGGGAAGCCACGAAGTTCTTCCAACTCCTACCCAGGGCCAGGCCCTGATGGATGCATAAATGAGTTGGATGGACAGCCGGGGTCAAGGGCGAAGAGGGTGGTGCACGGAGGGATGGGCTGGGTACCGAAAGGTATATTTATTTGGGGTGGCGGATGGGACGGCGGAAATGAGAAGTTAAAAACAATCATCCCGTTCCAAGTAGTGTACTGGACTCCCTACAAGTGTTTCCCCCCGCCCCCGTGCGCTGAGTCTAGTTTACAAATGGAGAAACTGAGGCCGGGAGACAGGAGAACAGACCAGGACCTGACCAGGTATCGGCCAGCCTCTGCGGGGAGGGCGGGCGTCAGGCCGCCGGTCAACTGGTGGGCAGCGCTCAGGTGGTCCTCCCGGTGCAGACCGGGTAGGGAAGCGGTGGGTGCTTGCGCAGCGCCCGAGGGCGGGAGGCCAGGCCCGCTGCGCGCCGGGAACAGCGAGCCAGCGAACGCAGCCGCGAGGAGGGGCGTGGCCTTGGGCCTGGACGTCATGAGGAGGCGGGGTTAGCGATAATTATCAGCCAGGGGGAGAGGCCACTTCCCAAATTGAGCGGAGGGGGCGTGGCCCGCCAGCTTGTTGCACAAACGGGGCGTGACCTGCTGCCAGGTTGGGGCGTGGCCTCGCCCGCACTTGGGCGGCAGGGGGCGTGGCCCGGCTCAGCGCGCGGCGGTACTGGGCTTGCGCACGCCAGAGTCAGGGGTCACGGCGGCGTAGGCTGTGGCGGGAAACGCTGTTTTGAAGCGGGTGAGTAGAGGAAGAAGGGGAATTGGGGGGACTCGGCCAGTCAGGGAAGGGGCCTTGAAGAGACGGGCACGTAGGTCTGAGAGAGGGTTGCGAGGGGTCGCGTGGGACGTTGCGGCAGCCGGGATCCCCTTGGCCCGGGGGCGCGCAGAAGAGGGGCCGGGGCCGGGGCCGGAGGTCTCCCGGGCGAGTGCGCGGAGACGCGCGGGAAAGTGACGGGGCCGGGGGCTTCCTCGGCGGGCAGGGGGCGCATGCGCTGGGCGCGGGGCCTCGGGGCCGGACGGGCCCTGGGAGGCCTTGTGGGACTGAATGGTGCACGTGCGGCTTAGTGTCATCCTGTATTCGCTAGGTATTTATTGAGTGGTCTGTGATAGGCACTGTTATAGAAACTGTAACTGCAGCAGGAACAAGTCAGAGAAGGTCCCTGCCTCAGGGGAAGACAGAAGAAAGACAAGTAATAAGTAATAAGTAATAGAAATACTAAAGCAATGCTCTCAGGCTGTGATCTGTCTGTTGTCTGAAGTGAAATAAAATAGGGTAATGTGATCGTGACCAAGGGGCAGCCTGCTTCTTTAGCTGGAGAGATCAGGAATCGGCCTCTCTGGGGAAGTGATGAGAAGTCAGCCCTGTAAGGAAAGATCTGGGCAGAGGAATCCTGAAGTGCAAAGGCCCTGAGGTAGGAAGGAGCTTGGCATATTTGTAGCCGGAACCGAGGGAACAAGAGAGAAATGCAGATGAATTCAGAGTCGTAGTGTGGGACCAGATACCACAGGGCCTTGTAAACTTTGGTATGGGATTTGGCCTTTATTCTGGGTTCAGTGGAGAGCCATGGGAGGGTTTGAGCATGGGAGCAATGTGATCTGCCCAGTATTTTGAAGATCTCACTGGCCGCTGAGTTGAGATTGGATTGCAGCAGCAGTAGGAATGGAAGGAGGGAGACCAGTTAGGAGGCCAGAGCCGGTGGTGGGTGGCTCTGCGCTGTGCAGGTGGAGAGAATCCATCAGGCTCAGGCTGTCTTTGGGGCTGGGACCAGCAGGACTGGCTGGCAGACTGGGCCTGTGCGTGAGGGGAAGAGGAGCCCAGGATGACTCCTGGGTTTGTGGTTTGAGCAACAGGCCAGATGGGGAAAGGTGAGGGAGAAGCAGGTTTGGGGGTGGCACTCTGAAGGCAGAGCTTACATGGGGGAATGAATGGGCAGGGTTAGAGGGGAGCACAGGAGGGGACAGGGTGATGTCAGTGCCTCAGCCTCAGTCCTGCCTACTCTGAGAACCTGTTGTCCCTCGTCTCTCCTCCTCCTTCCTGTACTTCCCCCACCCAGGTCTCTTCAAGGGAACCTTAGAGAGGTTCCTTCCCTGCTCAGGGCCTTCGCCATGCCCTTCCTTCCTCCTGAAATGCTTTTCTTTCTCTTAAGCTGCTTGTGTGGCAGGCAGCCCTTTGCTGGGCCCTGGGGAGCCAGTGATAATCCAGTTTGGTTGAGGAAAGCACAGGAGCTTTTGATCCAGGTGCTGTGAGCTATGAGAGGCAGCACTAGTCTTCCGGAGCTGAGAGAAGAACCTGGGGCTCAGGGAGGATGCGCCAGAGTTGGTGCTACCTGAAGGGAATTTAAACGCCCAGGTCTTGAAGTGGCCAGGCACTGTGCTGGGTGATGCTGGGGACCCCGATGTGGGCAAGCCCCCGACTCCTGTTTGTGAGGAGCTCACAGGCTGAAACGTTCCCAGCTCGGCGTGCCTGTGTGATAAGGGGAGTAAGTCGTCCGAGTCACTGTGAGATCCCAGAGGGGGAGGTGGTCGGCCTGAAGGAGTCGAGCCGAATGCTGAGGATGCAGCAGAGCTAGGCAGCCGAAGCTGAGGGTGATTTCACCCAAGCAGACGCTTCCCGAGGCATCCCAGGGCTGGGCCCGGTGCTGGTTGGTGCTGGGGACCCAGAGAAGAGAGAGGCCTTGCTCTACCCTCCAGAGGCCCCTGGCTGGTGAGCGAGGCAGACACACACCCACTCGGTCCAAGGGCATCAGCAGTCAGAAAGGCCAGGGGAGGGACAAGGCCAAAGTGGGAAAAGTGCGAAGACGTTTTCCGGGGGGCAAAAGTGAATAGTTACATTTGCAATCATTTTATCATCTCCTCAACAGATGTGTGTGAGCCAGGATACAGCTGTGAACAACAGACAGTCCATCTTCAAAGCTGTCTCCCCCACCGGGCAGAGGGCAGGTCATTGCTGTATCTCCCCTGTCATGGGCCTGGCCCACAGAGGCCGGCAGTATGGAGTGCCACTTAACAGTGGCTCTGGAGCCAGTCTGCCTGAGTTTGAACCGGGCTGTGTGCCATTGGGCTAGCTGTGCCACCTTGGACAGGTAGCTTCACCTCTCTGGGCCTCAGTTCCAGCCATTGTAAATGAGGTAGTAGCAGCACCTACCTCAGTTGTGAGGGTTCTTCGAGTTCCTTTATTCATTCTTCATTCAAAAAATGTTTTATGAGTACCTACTCTTTTCCAGGTGTTCTCCTAGGTGCATGAGACACAGCAGGAAACAAAAGACAAAATCCCTGCTCTCGTGAAGCTCCAATTCTAGTGGTGGGACAGACAGTAAACAAGATTAATAAGCAGTGGTTCTCAGACTTGAGTGGCACCAGAACCTTCCAGGTCTTTCTCGAGCAGCGATTGTCGGGCTTCACCTCCAGAGGTCCCGATTCAGTAGGTCTGGGTGGGGCCTGACAATTAGCGCTTCCAGCAAGTTCCTACCCAAAGCTCACGCTGCTCGCTGCTGGTCCAGGGACCACAGTTTGAGAACTGTGAGAACGAATGCAGTGCACCAGGCAGGGTTAAGTGCCATGAAAAGAATAAAGCAGGAAATGGGGTTAGCGAGTGCCCGGAAGGGGCAGCGGCACTGCACTTTTAAACAGGCCTCACCGAGAAAGTGGCATTTAAGCAAAGACCTGAGGAGAGGTGGGAGGGAGCCATGGGGACAGCTGGGGAAGAGCATCGGGGCTGTAAGCAGCCCGTGCAAAGGTCCTGAGGTAGGAGTCTGGATTGTGCTCCCAGTGACACCTTCCTTCCCCGCCCTGACCCCACCATCGCCACAGCCAAGTGACCAAGGGCAGTAGTCGGCCTCCTTCCTGCCTCCCTACTCCAAGCCAGGTCTGGCAATGACTCTGGGCTCCTGTAAGCCCTTCAGCTTCCTCTGTCCTGCCCGGGTCTCTCCCCCAAGGTTGTAGCTCCCCATGTCTCTCTGGCTATTTGCACGGCTGGAGCAAGGGCCACTGAGCCTCTTTCTTCCTGTGAGATAAGTCATGCGTCTATGTGGTTCTCATCCGAAAGACACAGGAGGAGAGTCAGTTAAGTCTGCTTCGTGCACATGTGTTCACAGCAGCACTGTTCGTGGTAGCCAAAAGGTGGAAACAGCTCCGATGCTCATCAGCTGGCGAATGTATAAACAAAATGTATTATATCCATATGGTGGAAAAATAGGCATAGGCTGGGCGCAGTGGCTCACACCTGTAATTCTAGCACTCTGGGAGGCCGAGGCGGGAGGACTGCTTTAAGATCAGGAGTTCAAGACCAGCCTGAGCAAGAGCAGAGCCTGTCC